GTCCTGAGTAGCAAACACTGATTTTCTAACTGAAAAAATTGAAAAAAGTGAAGGGGGTCTGAATATTTTCTGAATGCACTGTGTATGGGAAGGAAGCTTTTTGGACTTCCTTAAAAGAATTGCACAGCTGCAGTGCCACAACCAAAACGGCCTTGTTCCTGGAAATCAGTAATTAAATATTTCCTAATGATTGGCCAGAAGGATAGTTAGTGATCCTAATATTGTGTAAGTTCACTTTGGCAAGAGTGGTTCTTAAGTTGAAACCTCATTTTAATTGAGACTGGAAGTATGTTTGTGTAATGCATTCTGACATTCTCACCCTTTTTTGTCCTTAGTGATCTAGATATGAAAGGCAATATAGGTAGACAAAGTTTTGTCTAATAATTAAGTAAGAAACAAGCCTTCTTCTATTTTTATTCTTTTTTGAAAGATGAAGGTGATATTGTAGCAGCAAAGTACACTATGCAGAAATATGACAAGATTAAGGTTACATGATTAATTTACTGCAATATGAAAATGGTTCATTGTGATATTGTATTTTTTGTTTCCCCCCAAAAGAAATAGGTGTTGTCAATTTTAAAAAGCCTTTGAGAAATACAGGATTTTTAGAATTGCTGATATTGACACCAGTTTTCTGTTTCCAGAAACAAAAGATGGAGTTCATTCTCTAACTTACCTATTTTGTGCCAAAAGTACTTTAAGTTATTGGTTTACAAATTGTTCTGCTAATTCCAGTGTACTCACTTGTTCCTATATTGTAGCATGGAAAGACTGTGGCTGAATAGTTTGCAAAAACTGTGCAGTGCAGTCCACTGTTTATATTTCAGGCCAGAAATGAATGCGGAGTTTGGTTTGTTCTCCAACTAAACATTCCCTATAGAAAGTATCTTTCAGAGTGCAGTGAAGGTCCATTAACTCAGATTCTTTCCTCAGATCCTGTTTCAACCTAAAATTGGTGTATGTAGAAAACTTGTGCTTTATTAATTTACCTAAAGAGTTTTTAAATGTTTACATTTTGAGGACTGTTTGGGAAGGGAGGGTAGGGAAGTTTTCTTAGCTAATGCTTTGTTGCTCTTTTTTGTTTGTAGGGAGTCATATATTAACATCCAATTTCTCCATTATTTTCTGGGAGCAGCTGTCACTTCACTGTGGTGTCTTTGCTTCATATAAGTTGGTCTTGTTTCTGCACAGAACATTTGTCAAATATCCCTAGCTAAACTTTTAGGTGAAGAAAAGTAACTTTTCTATTCTAGGGTGTATGCTCAAGGAGGTGCCCTTCTTCATCTCATTTCCTGTAGCAATTATATCTCTCTTGGCCCTGATATCTGTGTTTGTAATCCCTTTGTTTGGCTTAAAACTCATGCCATGTTAACAACAAATATGCCTAAACTGTGCTACTGTTGGTTGTCTCAGTATTGATGGCCTTGGATTCTGCTTTTCCTTGAAGGACAACAGAGCATGTTTAAGAATAAAACTTAAGGCTTCTGCTGCTGACTGGAGAGCCTCTTAAAGAATTAAAAAGAAGACCAACTGGCTTGGTCTGTCCTTTTCCAGTGAAATCCTTGTCCATTGGATGATTAGTACTGTTCTCAGAGACAGACTTTATCTTACTATTTGCACTTGGCACTTTCTCCTGATATACAGCTGTTCTGCTGCTGTGCTTATTAGCTCTTGATATAATTGTAATGCCATTATTACAACTCTTGATCTCCTTAACCTTGGCACTGATCTCCAGCTTTTGCATTATTATTCCCGATAGGGCCAGAGATATTCTTACCCCTTTTATTCTTTACATTGTTCTTCATTCACTCCCCTCTACCTTGCGTTTACTCTTTATATCCTTCTCTTCCAGCTACTTTGCCAGTAGAAATTATTTTGGCATTTGTTTTACTCCCTGTTTTATTTATGGCATTTATATTTATGCAGCTTCCCCTGGGCTCAAAGTTGCCTATTGAATGATTATGCTTGTAGTGAATGCTGAAACCCACAGGGAAAAACCTCTTCCAGAAACCTCTTCATGAGTCTTCATTAACCCTGTGCTGCTTTTCTCACAACTAAAAAGTCAGAATGCAAACATTAAAATAATTTCAAATAATTCTGCAACCTCCTGGCTGCGTAGTACAAAGATGTGATTAGAGGATTCAGTACTTCCTTCCCTACTCCTGCATTAAAAAAAAACAATCTCATAGGAGATAAACAGAATCAAACTTTTCTATTAAAAAAAGTAACCCCTCTTTACACTTTAAGTATTAAAATCATGACATTCAATGCAAAAGGAGATAATTGCAGAGCTGCCCAGATCATAATAATACAGCAGCTTGTAAATTAGGTTAAATCCAAAAGAAAATATAGTACTCTGGATAAACCACAGAATGGCATAAATCTGCTATAAATGAAGAACTTTCTGCCCAAAATATTGTAGTTCACAAGAGGAAAGTTCAAAATATTACAGAAGATTCTAAAGAAGAAATTATAACTTCATGAATATAGCCTGAAGTATGACAGGTTCTACAATTGGGTTACCCAGTTTTAAAACTTGTATGGTATGATAAAGAATCTGAAACTTAGAACAGGACTGAAAACAAAAACCATTCACAACTGCATTGCTGGGGTTGACTGCCAGAATGGTTATTCCAGTACTTTCTGTTACCACAGTATATCTTATAGCACAAATTTTTCCTTCATCCTCTGTTTAAACACCTGCTACCTGATAAGACAATCCATTTTATTGCATAACAGCCATAACCATTAGGAATTTTTCCTAATGTCCAAGCAAAATCTATTTCTTTGTAATTTAAGCCATTGTCTTGTCTTCTGGAAGAACTGAGCAATTCTGCTTCATTTTCTACACAATAACTCTTGCAGACAGCTAGCATATCTCCCCACCAATTTCTCCAGATTAAACCCACCCAGTTTCTCCAACTGTACTTGATAATTTGTCATTTCTGGGCCCTTCTTGATTGCTTTCCGGTGGATGTGCTCCAGTTTGTCAGGTTCTTCCTAAAAAACAGTACCCAGAACTACAATATATGAAATATTCTTAACCAATCTCTAGTTGAGTTACTGAGGCAGGTTGGTTTATTGATTGTATCAGGATAAAATAAATATTTAAGATAAGCATGAGATAACAAACAAAAAGAGTCATCCCATTAGGAAAATCTTATGTATATATGAAATTGTTACCTACTGTGCCTCAGCAGGTGGCAGCTTTGGGCCAACCTTATCTGGAATTGGAAGCTAAACCTGATCAGTGTTTGAGAATTACATATATGGATATGACCATGAAATCATTCACATCAAGCCTGAGTTAAAGAAGACTTTACTTTTACCTTTTCCTACAATAAGAATTTATTTGTGTAGGATTTTTTTTGTCTGTAGCTTTAGCCTGGCTAGGATTAACAAAATTACGGAAGTGGTCAAGAAAGGCTGAAGAATGAGCAAACAATGGGAAAACAAGTCAGAAGAATAGATAGAAGCCCAAATATTCTGAACGTCTATCTTTGTGTCTCTTTAACATTAGATCTGTAGTGTCTGTTAAACTATGTGAAGTTCAAAGGAGGAGGGAGGTTGCAGAGACTTGAAAGATATGAACTGGCATTAGCCCATTTATTAAAGAAAGAGAAAGAAAGAAATACTGGTGGTTGATTCGTTTTTCCAGGAAAATCTATTCTGATTGTGATCAAGTTGCATTTATTTTCAGGTCTGGCTTGTTTTTTCTCTCCTTTTTTTATTCTTGAGGTTAAGCTTAATTTGCTTGTTTCTTTTCTCTTATTAGGGTAAAATAGTTGCTCAAAAATACCTCTGGTGACAATTAGGGGAGAAGAGGCCAGTCTTGGGAGTAGGATGAAAGTAATTTATCAAACTTTTTCTTCTTAAACAAGATAATTCCTCCAAATCCTTTCCACTACTCATTTTAAATAATAAATTTAATAATTGAAGTAAAGACATGAAGTTACATGTCACTTGACACAGATTTCCTTTCTGATTACTTTATTGTTTAGAAATCATGACATCTTCAGGAAAAGAGAATTTTCGACTGAAGAGTTATAAAAACAAGTCTCTGAACCCTGATGAAATGCGTCGCCGTCGTGAGGAAGAGGGCCTTCAGTTGCGGAAGCAAAAACGAGAGGAGCAGGTAGAATGAAATTCTATGAACGCTGAAAATGGAAAAGACTGTATTCAAGTATATATGTAATTTAAAAATGTTTAAAGAAAGAACAAATGATCAAGGATAAGAAAAATAATAAAAGGAGCAAAAGAAAGGGGGAAAATGGAGCAAACAAAATATTCTTCCCAGAAAGACTTATGTTCAAAGATAATTAAGAGAAACTTTGTTAATATAGTTCAAAAATGAATAAAACTGTCCCTAATTGTAAGATTTTTTAATACTATGTTGCTTCATGTTTAATTTTTTAAGCCAATGGAATTTCCGAAAGTTCTACTTGGTTTAATGTAATTCTTAATTGATTGTAAAAAAGATATACAGGTAGTCCTCGCTTAACCACAATTGGGACCAGAAAACTGGTAGTTAAGTGGAGCAGTTGTTAAGTGAGTCACCACATGATCGGACCCGATTTTGCGACCATTTTACGATGGTCGTTAAGCAAATCACCATGGTTGTTAAGCGAATCACATGGTTGTTAAGCCAATTTATCTTCCCCATTGGACTTTTTTTGCCGGAATTCACTTAATGACCACATGATTTGCTTAACGACCACAGTGATTCGTTTAACAACCATCGTAAAAAGGTCACAAATCGCAATCACTTGCAACAATCATAACTGCAAGTACAGGTCATAAAGCCATTTTTTCCGAGGCCATCGTAACTTCAAACTGTCGTTAAACAAATGGTCGTTAAGCAAGGACTACCTGTACTTTCTGGTGGTGCATCTGGCAGCTAATAAAAAAAAAAAATTGTTTTGTATTTGTGTGTGATAACAGTTTACAAATCTTGGAAATTTAAACAATAAAATAACAGAATAATTTACCAAAAGTAGTATACTGGAGGAATTTACTGGCACTGGCTATATCTATGGATTTCCTGGATGAGGTACCAAATGACTAGAAGAAGCCAAATGTTGGCCAGAATTGAGGGAAAGAATGTTCCAGGAACTAAGCACCAGTCAGTCTGACTTTGATACCTAGGAAGATTCTAGTGCAGTTCATAGAGTGAAGGATCAGTAAACATTTGGAAAAAATCAGTGATTACTTGAAGTCAGCATGGATTTCCCAAGAATATATATTGTAAGACTCACTTGATTTCATTTTCAAGACCTAGGCATAGTCTTTCATGCCATGATCTCACAGAAAATGCATAGAGAATATATAGCACAAAAAGCCCAGAGAGCTGCTGCAGCATTGCAATCATTCTTTTATACTAAGAGGGCATTATTTATTCCTTGTACACTTCAAGTTGTTTTTGAACAGTTGTTCAGCTGTTTTTTGGTGCCCAGGTAGGCCTATACAATTCCTTTGTTCTTTTAGAAAGAGTTCAGATTAAATTTCTTAGGAACATCCCAAGCTCCTTGCTGTGTCTCAAATGCAATTCTTCTCCGTGAGGTTGGCCTCAGTAAAATTGAGACCAACACTTGCTTACACGTTTTTACATGCTGGGTTAAAATATACTCTGCCCCTTTAAGTCTGACACCCTGGATTCTTACTAATAATTTTGATTCATCCTGGAATTTGAGCATGCAATAGCAGTTTTGAGGCAATGGATTGAGGATATTGCTATCCAATTAAAGCTGGCATCTCTTCCCAAGGATATATTCTTGACTAGCTCCTTCATCCTGCTAAATATTTAAGCCAGTGTTGTCCAAACTTGGCCACTTTAAGATGGCTGGGGAATTCTGGGAGTTGAAGTCCA